TTCAAAATTAGAGTTTTAAACGCAAGTTCTGGGGGTCACATATGTATCCTAAAGAATAAAAAAAAACATACAACCACTTGTTTTGTTTGAAAGAAAAGTTGGAATCTTTTCAAACAGATGTGGAATTCATAATCAAAAAATTCTGCGGCAGTTGTACAATATTACAAAATAAAAAGTACTTTGCAGAGCTCTGGAAACACTAACAATGGCATATGCTTTGTGGTCAGAAAGGTCACTTATATTCTTCTTGCTTCCAATTTATTCTCTGTCTTTGAGAATTTTTTAGACAACTAGTCCATTTTCTACTTTATTGTTTAGCTCTTATCATATTTCTAATCAGTTTGCCAAATGCATTTTGAGAAAAGGAAATTTTAAGTCCCCCCCAAAATTAAGAGTATTTTTCTAGAACCTGTATAGTAATCTTCAAAAAATCTATTACATGTGCAGAAAACAAGCTCAAAACCAGGTCTACTGACATTAAGTTTAGGCTGTGACTAAACATTACCAATAATTAGCAATGTATATTTTGAGGGACAGAATTGAGAACTACCATACATTCCATGTCATTTTAGTGAATTATAACATGACAACAAAAGGACTCTTATATTTTAATTCCATCCTTTGAAAATACATGTGTGAGAAACATTTCATTCACAATAGGAAGCAACTACTATAATTCCTACACAAAAGCCCAAGAACGACTTGGAAATCATGGAGCTGCTATGAATGCAGGGAATAGTAAATGATATCTGTATAGCTATGGGCTGAAACCAAGCCAGTTGTAGCAACATTTTTTCTCAACAAGGTAGGTAATTCTCAGCATGCTAAGAGACACCAAAACTGGGCGCAAGTGTGAGCAACCATCTGACTGGTTTACACAAGTGCAGATGGCACTCTCGTGTCCAATAGCACAGAGAGACATAAAACACTATATTCAGACCAAAACAAAGCTGTGAGGTGGTGGCAGCAATAGTGGAAATTAATAATGTGTGTTACTCTAAGAACACACTCACTTTTACTGTGAAGTAGATATTAGTATTCCTGGTGAGGGAATGAAGAAATTGAGTTTAAGAAATTTTCATTTATTAGCTGAGGAAGCAACTTGACCATCATCCTATTCAACCTCCCGTTTAAAATGTGACCTCACTTTAATCATAATTTTCTCACCTTTTAAAGTTTATATTGGAAGGAGCAAGAGGATGCACATTTTCTATATTTCAAGCAAATGTATATAACCGAGGCAGTAGATAGAAACACAGCAGTTGTCATGTCCAGATAAATCCACTTCAAACCTATTTTGTTGAAGGGAGAAGTGGAAAGGAAAAAAAAAGCATGGGGTAGTAAGGAGAGGAGCTTGTAAAAATGGAGATAATAATTTTTTCTTCCTTAAAAAATATGACAAAAGCCAGCAGACAAATTTGGTCTCATTGTTCATGAACATATAAATAATGGCATGTCTCTTGTGCATCACTAACAAATACCTTCAGTTCCTCTCATTCTCTTTGGCTACCTTCTCTATAGCCAGTAGCAGCCACCACTTTATTTGCACCTTATATTTTTATTTCCATCCATCAGTACCCACCAGTAACAAATGATGAAAAATTTAAAAATTTTGCATAGCTCTATTGCAAATCACTCCCGTTTCTTCATCCATCCAGATCATCACCCTGCAGCGCCCTCTATAGGAATTCTAGAAGTACCACTATCTTCATTAGTGTTCTGTTAGCACAATGTAAAACATTTTACACATCAAGCTTTTATTCAAATTCTTATTATAATCACTAAATATAAGAAACATATTGCGCTTGTAGCTACTTTTTCAAATCTTCTCCAGAGGAGGCGAGACCAATGCAGTTTCGCAGCTCAGGGGGTTAGATGAGTCAGCACTCTCTCATCTTACCAGCATTTCTACAGCATTGTCTACAACTATTGCCCAACACATTTCCTCTTCTGAAATTCATGCCATTAATTTCTATGTCCTATGTGAAATCCTCTTTGATACCCTCCCTTTGAAAAATTTCTCTTTTCTATTCCTCATGGTACTTAATTTTTATAGCCAGGCAACAAATTCAAAAGTGGGGAAGATATGCTTATACAACAAATTCCTATAATTAAACTCCGGTTGTCTATTACTATTCATGTGTTTTTAGTGGGAGTAAAGAGTAGGAGACTAATACTAGTGCTAAGAAAGTGGAGGAAGTGAGCGAAATGTGAGTGAAAAAATGACTATAATCATTTTAAAGAGACCACTTCAGGAAGTCACTATGAAGATCACAATGAAATATTAAAATAAACTTGTTTTTGATACCTTCTAAAATGAGGGTGATGTAAGACATTTACATGGGTTTTAAGGCAATTATTAATACTTTAAATCAAAGATAGTTATATTTTCACTTAACTTAGAATTTACTTTAAAATTACTTAGAATTTATCAAGAAATAGAGTCAAATAAATTTTTCTCTTCAAAGACAGGCTCTATCACTAAAAAATCACCACCACACAAAATGAGTGCAATGGCAAACTTTAAACCTTTAGTAGGAAAGAACAGAACATGCTATTTTCTTCAGAGAAAATAAAACATACCTTTCTTTTGAGAATAATCTTTGAAAGCTGACAATTATACCACACCCATTAATAAAATATTGATTAAAAAAAAAACATGAAAATACCCTTTTCAATAGAAGCAATACATTTTCTAATTCTCTATTCATTAAGGTAGGAATGATATAAGTAGGAAGGGTGGGCCTCTCCTGGTGGCGCAGCGGTTGAGCGCTGGGCTGCGGGGCTGCCTGCAGCCTCTGCAGCGCTGGTTCGTTCCCCAGGCACCGGCGAGGGTCCCACAAAAAAATAAATAAATAAATTTAAAAAATAATAAAAAATAAGTAGGAAGGGTCCTAATTTTCATGGATCAACAATAATATGGAATAAAGATTTGATTTATAACATTAGTAAAGAAACCAAACTCAACACTTACTTTAGCAAAGGCTTCAAAAATGTCAAAGGAAGGCGGCAGCTGAGAAGCATCCTGTATTTCTTCTCTCATGAAATGCTGAAATGTCATTGCCAGTTGCCGAGGCCCTCTTTCTTATCCTCGGTCAGTTTGTTAATATCTTTTTAAAAAAATAATAAATGGTACAATCAAAAATGAACCTTTAATGGATAATTTTCAGGTGCTCACTGATAACTGTTAAATCAGATATTCCCTGCCTGAGATTCCATTCTGACAGGGAGCAAGTATGTATCTTTTTATTTTCTGAAAACTACATATAATGATATATACGTTATTAATTAAACTCTGCCAAACTTCATGTATAAGCTCAAACACCTATCAAAACAAAATAAATACACATACAAATGAATAAGTATTAAAACCAAAATCAGTAAAGATGTGTGTTATAGATTTTCTACCTCACCCTCTATGCATGTTCAAACCATCATAAATTCTTATGAATGAATTAAAACAGAATTTTCCATGAAACAATTTATAACAAGGTTATGACTACAGAACAATAAAATCTCAAAGAAAGAAAAACAGAAAGTGAGAACTAAAAGGTTTGGCTAAAATTCAAATAAGTAAAATGTGTCCTACAGAAAGTACATAAAGAAGAAAACATGGATCAACAAAAAAAATCTCAAATTATTTCCAGTTTGGATTGGATAAGCACATTACAGTGCTGTGTTCAAACAGAAGGAGAAGGTTCCAAAATCAATACTACCCCTCTAAAAACTCACTTTAATTTATATCACAAAGGGATGTTAAGGCTAAGAGTGCAGAATTCAATTAATAATGTTTGAGAGCATTTAACTTAAGACAGCATGTCTGACACTGCTACTGAGCAGGGCTAATGTTAATAATAAAACTCACAGAAAGAGATGTTAATTACCTACAGTAATATACTAAGAAAAAATGACTAATTAGTTCTGTATTACAACTAGAAACTATGTATCAGGTTGAACTATAATGTAACTGTTGCTGGGTCAGGTCTACATATTTTCTTTAAATTATTTGTTCAACAGAACAATTAAGGCAATGATTTCTTAAATAATAATTCATTATCATTGGCACTTAGGAGCCTATAACCATAAATCTGTACAAGATTTTCTTCTTGTCTCCAACCTGAAACATTAAATTAAGTAGCAAATGCAGTGTAGGAGCTGGTTTTGGGTTGAAGCCATTTATACCCTCAATAAAGAAAAAAAAGCCCAACACTGACTAAACATTCAGATCTGGAAAGTTTTCAGTCTTCTTAAGTAGCCTGGTCACTGCCTTGGTAGCTTAGGGGAACATCCAGTGCAGTCAGGGGGCCTATCAACTGTACTTCCTACTTTCCTTAATATTTAAAGGACGGGGCTTCCCTGGTGGCACAAGGGGTTAAGCACCGCACTATGAAGCAATCCAAAACCTATGCAGCATGAGTTCGATCCCCGGCCTGCCAGGGAGAAAGCCACATGGAGAGGCAGACCTCTCCTGTCTCGCCCGCTGCTCCCCTCAGCAGTGTATGTCAGTCAGTCTGCCTGTCCTGTTCCCCAGTCTGTCTCTGGTGGATCCTCTCACCTCCCACCCCGCCCCCCGCATCTCGGGCCTGTACCACAGCTCTTGTATGCATAAATAAATAAATCTTTAAAAAAAAAAATGCTTAAAGGACCAGTGAACCTAAAGGTTCACAGGAAGCACCCTGAAATCACTTCCTTGACATTCAAAAAAAAGGGGGAAGGGCAAAGAAAGGGAGATGGGATGGAGAAACACAAGAAAAGTTACTCTGTCACTGGACTTCTCCCTGCCTGTCTGACAAACCTTTATGACGCTTTATAAGCTCGTATATGACAAAGCTACCCTGAGAAAAGTTCATGTGTCAGTCATATGTAAAACCATGAAAAGTTGTATTAGATTTGCCTTGACTAATAAAGAAGTAGAAAACACAGCTAAAAATAAAACATTTTACCTGCTTAGCAAATAAATGGCAGAAATATTTTTCAGATGCTGTTAGAAAATCACTTACTTGATTCCAGATCATAAAACGAGTAAAGTTTCTCCGATTCAGAGGGTGTTCCTTCCATCTATGAAGTACAGGGGAAAACACCAAAAATAATATTTGAGTGTTTTTAGGTATTTAAATAGATATTTAAATAGAATTCTACAAAAAGGTAATTTTCTATATGACCTTCTCAGAGTGAATAATTTAATCACTAGCAATTTTATTTTTATGTATTTGTTTAGTGCCTAGCCTAGCTATAGAAAATTTGGATTTTTATTTGTATTTTTGTTTGTTTTATTGATGCAGCATTGCTTAACTATATATGGTTTAGGGGAATAGGTTCACACCTCCTCAGGTATGTCACCATATCACACCCACCACCAAAGCACCTGTAGTCCTTCAACACAGACCACTGAGCCCTCCCCCCACTTTATTCCCATCCCAGAGCCCAGTCAGTAACAATTTTAAAATAAAATCAAACTTATAACTAAACTCAACAGTTCAATTTCAAAAAAAAAAAACTTTTTTATAAAAGTTTTCATTTTTCCCTCAGTTCTACCAACAAACTTGTATCACTGAAAAAATTGTATTATTTGTTATTAAAATTAATAATTTATTATAAACTGTGGAATCTTGGGGAAGGTACTTAAGCTTGAGTCCAGAGAAATCAATCTCTTATCTAAAACATAGGAGGAGGAGTAGCAACTGATCTATTGGACTATTCGTCAGTTTAAATGAGTTATATTATGTACAGAAATTAGCAGAAGGACCTCAAAGACATCTTTACAGACACATCACCCAAAGCAGTGATAGTGAAGGCAAAGATAAACAGCTGGGACTACATCAAATTAAAGAACTTCTGCACAGCAAAAGAGACAATAACCAAACAAAGAGAAATCCACCGACTAGGAGAAAATTTTTGCACGCAACACTAATGATAAAGGACTGATCACAAAAATCTACAAAGAGCTGATGAGACTCAACAAAAACAAAGAAAATAATCCAGTCAAAAAATGGGCAGAAGAGGGCCTCCCTGGTGGCGCAGCGGTTGAGCACTGGGTTATGAAGCTGCCCGCAGCCTCTGCAACGCCAGTTTGATCCCTGGCTGCTCCCAGGCCACCGGAGGAGCGTCCCACATGGCGCGCAGACCTCTCCTGCCGCCCACTGCTTCCCTCAGCAGTGTACTTCAGTCCTTCTACCTGCTCTGCTCCCCGCTCTGGCTCTGGTGAATTCTCTCAACCTCCCGTGCTTCTGACTGTACCCAGTGCTTGTATAAAAAATAAATAAATAAATAAATCTTTAAAAAAAAAAACTTCTCCAAAGAGGAAATGCAAATGGCCAACAGGCATATGAAAAAATGTTCAACATCACTTGTAATCAGGGAAATGCAAATCAAAACTACAAGGAAATACCATCTTACACTGGTGGAATGGCACATACTAAAAAAACTAGTAACAACAAATGTTGGCGAGGTTGTGGAGAAAAAGGAACTCTCCTGCACTGCTGGTGGGAGTGCAAACTGGTCCAACCACTATGGAGAGCTGTGTGGAGATTTCTTGACCCACTAAACATAGAGCTTCCATATGATCCAGCAATTCCACTCCTAGGTATTTACCCAAAGGACACAGAAACAGTAATTCCAAAGGGCACCTGCACCCCTATGTTTATAGCAGCACTATTTGCAATAGCTAAGCTATGAAAACAACCCAAATGCCCAAAAATAGATGACTGGATCAAGAAGATGTGGTACATATACACAATGCAATATTACTCAGCAATCAACAAAGATAAACACATGCAGTTTGCAGCAACATGGATGGAGCTAGAAAGGGATCATGCTCAGTGAAATAAGTCAGAAAGAAAAAGAAAAATACCGGATGCTCTCACTCACAGCAGGAATTTAGAAAACCTAAATAAGGGACCAGGAAAACGACTAATTAATACAAAGTAAAAATCAAAATCAACAAGCAACTATAAACCAGAGACACACTACAGGGTTGGGGGGGGGGTGTGTGGGGAGAGGAAGGATTAGGGTCAAAATAAGGGGGGGAGTGCAATTGTACGGGGAATACAACCAAAATGAAAATCCATTCATTGTGCAAAAATGAAAAATGATGTAAGAATTATATAAAATAAAATATTAAATAAAAAGAAATTAGCAGAAGGCCTAGAAATAGTAAATGCTCAATAGAAGGGAGTTATTATTATAATCCTCATTCTGTATTAGATTCTGATTCAGTAGGTCAGAGGTGGGGACAGAACTAGCACCTCTGATGACCCTGAAGCAACCTATTTCTGCTCTACAAGTGGTTCTCTATATTTTCAGTATTAATAAGTAAAAGAAGAAAGCCCAGAATCAAGTATAATAGTAACTATACTTTTAACATTCAGGTAATTAAGTAAATGCATATTGACAAGGTTGATCTAAATGTATTAATGTTTGAAATAAATTTGCATTTTCAAGTTCAATACAATACATGCATTTTAAAATAGCAATAAACATAATGACAGATGTTAGTCTTTGGACTAAACAAATAACAAATAATACCCTTCTGGTATTCCAAATCCACTGGTATTAATAAAATATGATTGACATATAATGTTGTATTAGTTTTAGGTGTATAACCATAGTTTTATATTCTGAAAGTTCTCCATTTAAATTTATAGTTAAAAAAAAAGTTAATAAACAACAGGACAAGACAGACTGGAGTTTGAGATAATTTGAGAAACAGATAATCATGCAAAAGTCTGGCAAAAAAAAATTTTTGAAAGGTGTCACCAGATGGATTTCACAGAATCTACTAGATATATTGGCAGAGAAGGGAAAAGGACTAAAGAAACGATTTCAATGAATCTTAGTTATAAAAAAAAGAAAAACGATAAGTTATCTTCAATGTGAGATCAATTATCAACTAATTAAAATCTCATTTGAAGAGGTAACCAAAAATTATATACTTGTCCAGTGCATTTCTACTGTGTGTCACAGTAGAAAATAAATGCAATGTAACAAAGATTACTAACATCCCATACCCCAAATATAGGCCTGACATCTCTACACCCAAGAAATCATGGGGTACTCAAAGGGGGACTATGCACTTCACCACTGCCACTGCTGCTGTGCTTAAAAAGAAAACAGCAAATTTTTGTTTTAAGATGCTCCCTGGAAGAATCCACCTTCTACCTTAATTTAACATAGGTTAAATTCGTCCTTAAATATAAGCATACATGCAACTGAAAATGCTTTTGTTAAATTAAAACGCAAACATATTTCACAAGTTTTATACTCACAAGTTTGACAACAACTCTGCCAAGAAGTCGGACAGAGTCTGGAGGATATCTGGGTTTGCAGTTTTTAAGGCATTTGCATTCCCGCTTGTGGTCCTGCCAAGCTTTTTTCTGTTGAGACAAGAGTGGGGACAAATCATATGAGACATAAAAATTTAACGGTCATTTACATAGGTTTTGAACATTGAGAGTCATCAACGTTAATTTAATTCCAACAGCCTAAATATAACTGCAAAATAGAAAATGAAAGCAATATTCTAACACTGTTAATGACCTAGGATTCAATTTTTGCCAAGTATGCAATTATCAGGCATGGACATTAAGAGCTGCAGATTCACCTCTGTCCTTTAATTGCCCCTTGGCTATTACCTGGCTGATAGAGTCCAAAGAAAGAATCATTATGGCTTACTTAATAATTTATAATATAGTCTTTTATCTGATGAGGATTCAAAAATAGACAGTTATTTTGAATACAAAAAGAAAATATCATTCCAAATTAGAAAATAAAACATATGGCTCAGGAAAATCAAAACAGGACAGATAACCTGAATTTTTGTGCCACTATCACAACTACAGAAACAGCAGGAGGACGAACATACCAAAAAAATGAAAGCTTTGTGTTTTGGGGGCCATCATAGAAAGAGATTATTAGCTAAAATGATTCAATATCCAGTTTGCTTGGGCTTATATTTGTTGTCCTGGGTCAATTATTAATGGCGGCTTTTTTTATTATGGAAAAGTGTCTAGTTTGGATGATAAATTATATGATCACTTAGCCCTTAATGATACTAATATGGTGGTGTGGCTGAAAAACACTAGTGAGCCAGTCACAAATCTTACAACACTAGAGATGAGCAAAGTAAAGGGAAGGATATTCTATCCTGAGTCTAGGGTCAGAAATAATATGGCTCCCTTACATGGGTCTATTTCTTTATGTAAAAAAAAAAAACCCCAAAGCATCTAATGTTTAGCCCTGGTGAGTAGAATATTGCTACAATATTCTAATCTAACTGAAAGTCAGAAGCTCCATAGTTTCACACTGAAAAACCCAATGTCCCCACTCATTCTAATTTCAGAAATTATTTAAAAAAGAAAAAAAAAAGATTCCCTATATCTAGGTCTATAAAAGTCCCTTAAGGGGAACTTGCTCTTTTCCACTTACAGCATAAATGGGAACCACAAAAGAAAATTTCAAAAGTACTACGGTTACATTGAAACTGTGACTCAGATTCAAGTTCAAGGTAGCATGTTGCTCAGAAAGACTGCTCCCGTCAAGGTGTTGGGTGAAGACTTGGCCATTTTGCAGCTATTATCTTGGAGACAAAGTTCATGAGGAATGCATCACTTCTATTCAAGGTTGCTTCGTTTCATTCCTTCCCATTCACTCTGCCAATGCTCTTCTTAATGTGATATTCATAATTTCTTTCAGTATTTATACTTCACAAAATTCTAAACCAGACTGAGTTCCTTCAAAGATGTGTATGAAATAAGGTTGTAAAATTAGAAACAAAAAATGTTAAAATCATGAAAAAAAAAGTCCTCTAGCATTTACTTAGCATTCTACAGCATGTCAGAAACAGAACTAAGTAATTAAAGAGAACATTTCATTTGAATTTCACAATAAACTGAATGGTCATTATCATCTTTATATTAAAGATGAAAAAAGAAAGGCTCAAGAGCTGGGATCTAACTACCAAATGACCTAAACATAATAGGGGAGAATAAAAATTCTTAGTATGCAAAACATGAGAGCTAAGTAATTGCAATGTTTATACATTACATTTATTTGAGTTGCCTTACAGGCAAGGCAAAAAGAAAACATAATGGCTTCTATAATTCCCATCTGACAGAAAAGAAAGACACATAGCTTTACCAAGTATTAAATCACAGGAGGGATTTATTCACGGTATTAATCCACATACTGAACAACGTCCTCAACAATAGTTTACAAGTATAATAGCTTTTCATATTGTGATTTCAATTGTCTGTGCTCACTTAAGGTATATATAAAATTAAAATATAACTCCTTGAAAGAAATGTTTTTATTGTTCAGAGGACTTGACTTGATTGGCAATAAGAAGTACATATATATATATATATATATATATATATAGAGAGAGAGAGAGAGAGAGAGAGAGAGAGAGAGATAGGCTTAAAAACTGCATGACTCCATTGTTAAGTAAGTTTGAGAAACACTGCTTAGAGAATCCAAAAATATTTAGCTTACTAAAAGTTAAATAAAGGTCTACATATAGAAATGTATATAAATTATTTAACATAGAGTCTCCCCTGATCCCATCATATTTTAGATAGGCTGGTATCCACTAACTCAGATACCTATGTACCTTTTCCTCCCTCCAGTCTTTGAATGAAAGTGGGTTAAGCACACAAATCCACATTTGCACTGAGAGAAAATTAGAGTGATATATATTTGACTACTTATTGAAGAGAGAACCATAACTTTGGTGGAGGAGTTTTCATTTGGTAGTAAAAGTTGAGAAGCCTGATAGAGACAACAGATGGACTGCCTGTGTAAACCTGTGTAAACAAAGAAAGCCTTTGGCTGTATTTTAAAACTGCGTAAGTATCCATCTACAATAGAATTGCACCCAGTAAAATAAGGCAGAAATGATTTGGACCAAAAGATCTTGAGAGCAGATTTTAATCAATGCTTGTCCCAACTATAAGTGTTCATCCACAGCTCCTTTGTTAAAAACCTTCAGTTTTGCAAGTTCAGTCTCCTTGTAGATCAGAGTGATGTATCTACAAAATGAACCCCTAGATAATGAACCAATTGACCTATATAATTAAAAATCCAAATTTAGAGAATTCCCATCAAAAAAGATTTTAGATTTCTAACAAAATTAACATTCAGCTCTTCTTTCTCAATAGCAATTAGAAACTATACAAAATACTTCTTAAAGATATTCTTAGATTACAAGAAAAATTCAGACAACACACTTTATCTTTATTTCTTACCATGATATTAAAAACCATGTTTTTAAAATATTAATTGTTATGATCAATCATTCAGCTTTACCCATCACATATTACTATAAGGCTCATTAATGCAAGCATTCCATTAACAAGGTTTACAGAGAAATCTTTTAAGCAACTGCACTGGACTTTGAAGCAAAATTTGACAATGATGCAAAAAAAATTAGGTATTACTGTCATTCAACAAATTTTAACCTTGGCCTAGATCACAAGGACATATTATATATACTTGCCAGTTATTCAAAAGCAACCTTCTTGATTTACTTTTTTCTATTCTCTTCCACAACTGCAAATACAGAATGTAATTAAGATTTTGTTCATAATACTAGCTGTAGTGTTTTCTGTTCTTGTAATTGAAAATTAACAATAACCACAAATTAGCATGTGAGATAAAGAAATTAAAATATTGCTTTAAGAAGCAAAGACAATGGGAGAAGAGTGTTAGATGTGAACAAAAATAAATGAAGATGTCTATGATTCAATTCCATGTATCTGGACATGGATGACTCAAAAATAACTTCAGAATTTATTCCATTTCATTTTTAGATTATACATAACATAATGATTTAGAACATAAGCTAATTGACTAAACCAGTGCTTCTCAGGGTAATCCCAATCTTAGAAGTTATTTGGGAAAGTTATATGGGTACTTTGTTTGTCACAATGCTTGGGGAACACCCAGAAAAAAGATGCCAGACATCCTGTATAGAACAGTCCATACAGCGAAGAACTGTTCCAAATCCAACATTACTGACAAATATCCTATCAGACATTCTATGAGGGCGATAAATATGTTTATAATTATCTAAGCCTAAAACTAAACTCCCTTTTATATCTAAAACCAGAATGCTTTTACAAAGTCTTTTTTTTTTGTTTCTTTTTTTTTTTTAATTTTCTAGAGGCATGTTTTATTTATTTGTTTGTTTGTTTGTTTGTTTTGTTTATACATGCACTTGGTACAGTCAGAAGCACGGGAGGGTGAGAGAATTCACCAGAGCCAGAGCGGGGAGCAGAGCAGGCAGAAGGACCTAAGTACACTGCTGAGGGGAGCAGCGGGCGGCAGGAGAGGTCTGCGCGCCATGTGGGACCCTCCTGTGGTGGCTGGGGAGCAGCCAGGGATCGAACCGGCGCCGCAGAGGCCGCGGGCAGCTTCACAACCCAGCGCTCAACTGCTGCGCCTCCGGGGAGGCCCTTACAAAGTCTTAATAGCACTAAGTTTTCTAAGTAAATCAAGAGAAGACTGCATTAAAAAAATACTTCAGCTACTTATTTAAAATATTTCATAAAATTATATCACCGAAGGCAATATCACTTGAAGTTCCCAGTACAACAAATCTTATGATCTGCAATTTTATTTACTTCTCATACTAACTCTGTATAAATAAAAGTATATGACCTTAATTATGTCTCCTAGTCTAATCACACCTGAGCATTTACATACTAAAATAGATACTGTGTTGTAAGTTGTTTTGTTTTTTTTTTTAATATTTTTTTTCTGTGTGTGTGTGTAGAAGAACTGTGGTGTAGGCCAAAGAGAGGTGCAGAGGATGAGAAGATTCACCAGAGACAGAGTGCGGAGAAGACCAGACAGATTTACTGAAATACACTGCTGAGGAGAGCAGCAGACAAGACAGGAGAGGTCTGCTGCGCCATATGTGGGTTAGGTCCCTGGCTGGGGATTGAACTCAGGCCATAGTGGTGATAGTACTGAGACTTAACCCCTAGACCACCAGGGAGGACCCTGTTTTAAGTTGTTTTAATTTTCTTTCTCCTTTATATTTCAGTTATGGCATTATACTGATACTGAAGTTTAAAAATATGTAACTAGGTAGACTTTTACTATCTATGGAATTTCATTTCAAAATGTTGCCCTTTGTGGAAAGGGCAACAAAAATATTTGTCATAGCAAGGTAGGATGGGTCTGAGGGAACTGAAAACCAGAGATCTAGGGAAACCTAATACCATAAACAAGGTTGAAAGATAAAGGACAAACCAGGAAAACAAAATCTAAAACACGCATAGTGTTAAACATCTTCAATATATAAGAAAGTCTTAAAAATAATTTTAGGAAAGGATGAATATTTCAATACTAAAAGAAAAAAAGAGTTAAAGGA